CAGCTGACTCAGGGTTGAAAACACTCATTCTTTTTCAAAAACTTTGTGATTTAATATCTCCGAAACTATTTGACCTAGACTTATATTTTTTTACATCATATTAAAGACAAATAGTACTCTCCAGGAACCTCGGAAGTGTCGGTCGTTCTGTTCCACCGAGTATAAGGCATGGTTGATTAAAAATTCGCGATTGAATCGAATCGTTCCGATTTTTTTTTTCAAGTGATTCGACATGCCTAACTCGCGCAGACTAGTAAGGGATACTACATGATACATGTATATAACAACAATATCTGCTCGGTTTTTTATTTTGTCGGCGCACATCAGTCAGTCGCCCGCGCACAACCCCTTTGAACGTATGCGCTTCCGCCTTTGCTTCCGTGTTGCGCACCGCCCGTCGCAGCGCCACATTTCGCGCGTCGTAATGTATTCCAATCGCGAATATTATGAAATGGTGCAGTGTTACATACATGGTGATCAACGTGACGCGGAGGCCCCATCGTGGGGCCTGCGCGATCGTCGGACCTAACACAGTGTTACTTTTATTTGTGGGGCGAAATTAAAAGACGTGTGTATGTTGAGGAAGCACAAAGCTTCGAGGACTTAAAAGTTCGAACGCGAAGTGTGGGGCTGCGGCGGGTGGCGCGCAACACGGAAGCAAAGGCGGAAGTGTGTGCGTTCAAAGGGGTTGTGCGCCGACAAAATAAAAAACCGAGCAGACATCGTCGTTGGCGCATGCGCGTACATCCCCTGCGCCCGCGCCTTTGCTACCCCTGCTGCCTTGTTTTATTCATAACTAATGTGACAATGCGAATGTTATAATTATCTTGTAATTGCAACAAGTTTTTATTTCATTTTGAAAATTTTACATACCGTTTTTTTTTCATATATGTGATCTATTAACGATACCTAATGCCTAGAAAAAATTTGGAGAGTCATTTTAATTGCATCCGGTATATATAGCAGTAGTTCGTAGGGTTCGAACGATACCTACTGAGTATCAATACTTTCAAAATCGATACTTAATACTACGGCACGATAACTACTCGCATGTATTCACAAAAATTGCCAAGGTACAAAGCTCCAAGTGTGCCATCAACTCGTCTACTGACACTATCCAAGTGCCCCTCCCAAGACAAAGTAGGATCAAAACAAACACCCAAGTTTTTCACGTTTGAAGAATAAGGAACTACAACTCCCTTATATAACGTCTTTGTATTTCTTTGACTTGTATTCAAATTAAGTAACGAAATCAGCCTTGGACTACCGATAATAATAGCCTGGGATTTGACAGGATTCATGTTAGAGCAAGGAGTTTTTACTCATGTATAAAATACTTTTTTAGAACAATTTTACTCTTCTGATTTATTTGACACAATGTTTATTTTTGTGATTAGCTGTCCATGCCTATTGTTTTTTTACTTCACTTCTATTTTGATGTTCTTGCAAACTATAAATAAAATTCATAAAATCTTTATTTAACGTGTTTGCATATGCATAGTATCCACTTTAAATATATTTGAAACATTGGCGGCCCAGAATTGGGGTTCACCAATAGGTTATAAGGCCTGTGCACGTATGATGTGAACATCGCAGAGGGTGTTGAAAATTTAGACCCTGGTAGAAGTCAAGACAAGCATCAAAAATGGCAAGTCATAGTGGTTTAAGCATGCCACCAATGGCGAGACTAGAGGGCAGTTCAAATTATGCGACGTGGAAAGTGCAAATTGAAATGGCACTTGTCTACGAAGATGTATGGGACTACACTAGTAAGGAGCCAATCAAAACTGATGCAGCAGCTGTAAAGGCAGATAGAAAAGCTAGAGCCAAGATAGGTATGATGTTGCAATCTGAATGTCTTGTGCACATACGCTCTGCGAAGACAGCTAAAGAAGCTTGGGAGAATCTAAGCAAGACGTTTGAAGATAAAGGCGTGAACAATCGCTGCCGCCTTCTATCAAGACTGGTCAGTCTAAAATTGGAACAATTTTCGACGATACGGGCATACGTCACAGGTGTGTTGACAATAGCCCAGGAGCTAAGAGATATAGGAAAAGAAGTGGACGATGAGCTTTTAGCTGCCCTTCTCCTACAAGGCCTTACGCCTGAGTTCCAGCCTTTGAAAATTACGATTGAGATTAGTCAGACTGCACTAACGTCAGATTATGTAAAGAATAAACTGTATCAAATGGAGGATACGTACAATGACTCAATAAGTGGAAGTCAAACGTCAACATTAGCATTACTGACAAAGAAGAAAGGAAACAGAAATAGCAAGGGCAATACTAGCAAGCCAGATAAGAAACAATTGAAATGCTACTTCTGTGATGGCACTCACAAATATTATCAGTGTCCAAACAAGGAAAATTCAAAGAAGGAAGCTCATCAAGCGTTTGCCTTCGGAACAACATTGAAGTCTGAACCTGGAGAAGATTGGGTGATCGATTCAGGAGCTTCGACGCACATGACGAAGAACAAAGCTTGGATGAAAGATGTATCGAAGACTGCTAGACTTTTGAAAGTTATGTGTGCGGATGGAAATGAGGTGCTGGGTGAAAGTGTCGGTAAGGTTGTGACTGATAAGATCACGGTAAGCGATGTTACTTATATTCCAAATTTAGCTTCAAACTTGTTGAGTGTGAATGCTTTAACTAAGAAAGGCTATGTTTTAATGTTTACAGAGAAAGGATGTGATATTTTTAAAAGAAATGGATGTGAAGTCTATGGTGAATATGTTGGATCTGGTGTAGAAGAACGTGGTATTTACAAAATTAAAGACTGTTTATACGGTTCTGCACTAGCAACAACGGAAGGTGAGCAGAACAATCATATTTTATGGCACAGAAGGATGGGACATCTAGGCGAAAGAAATTTAAAATTACTGAGGGACAAGATGGCAATTGGGGTGAGTTTTCGAAATTGTAATTGCAAACTTGAATGTGTTTCTTGTATAATGGGAAAACAAACGCGGCAACCTTTCTCTAAAAACGGTTCGAGGGCATCTGAAGTTTTAGGGATAGTACACTCGGACGTGTGCGGTCCTATGCGTGTACCCTCTGTTAGTAAGAACTTTTATTTTGTAACGTTTATTGACGATTATACGCGCAAGACTTTTGTATATTTTTTACAACAAAAGAGTGAAGTTTACGCTGAAAATGAAACGGGCAAGAAGATCAAGATACTGAGATCGGACAACGGTACAGAGTATGTCAACAAGAAGATGTATGACTTCCTGAAAGTGAACGGGTTTCATCATCAACTGACTGTTGACTACACGCCAGAACAAAATGGAGTCGCGGAGAGGTATGCTTTTGCGTTGTCACAAGAAGCCAGTATGAATCAATTCTATACTCTTTGCATCCCATTTGGTCCGCTTCTGTTTCGGAATATGCATAAATGCTTTGCATCCGAAGATCCTAATCAAGCTCAGATCACACTTCTTCCCACTCCATTTTTCTTCTGGTGTCATATTCTTCACCGCAATGGTCGGTGATCTGTTTTTCAGGTATACTGCATGATGGACAGCTTCCGCCCAAAACCGCTGTGGTAGTCCGGAATCATGCAACATGCTCCTTGCCTTCTCACAAATTGTGCGATTAGACCTCTCCGCGACTCCATTTTGTTCTGGCGTGTAGTCAACAGTCAGTTGATGATGAATCCCGTTCACTTTCAGGAAGTCTTGCTTCTAAGCATTCGACATCTAAATGCATCAGAGTCGGTGTTTATCATTATCAATATAAAATAATTCAGAATATTAAAGTCCTTCCAGAATCATCCGTTTATACAAGAGAATGTTTAGGCATATTAAAGCTTTAGAGTATAACAAAATCATGAAACTGAAATCAGGCATAATATTATCAGATTCAAGGATCGCTTTACAGTCCATAGAAAGGTACCTGATTAAATTAAAATGTGACAAATGATACAAAAATGTATTGAAAACGAAGTTCATATAGAATTTTCCTGGGAACCACCTATTTCAGAGCAAGCAATTAGGGGTACAAAATAATGTCACACGTGTTACTAATCTAATGTCACGTGAAAATATGCTGTTGAATGTTAAAATTTAGACAACTGACTAATACACATTTAATCTTAGGATTTAATTCCATATTAGGTTCCGTTTTTTCGATATCAATATCGCTGTTCCTTTGATATCGCCATATAACGATTTTTTGGACTTCAATATATCTATATGTATCGGTTGTACGACATATCGTTGCATCCCTAGTAATATCACAGACTAAAGTATTAACACAATAAGAGGTCTCTTTTGACATTTCAAAAATAAAATAGAACGTAACTTTGTACGTAACTGACGTAAGGGGAAATAAATTATTATGAGGAACAAGTACCATGAATTTTGTCGACATCTTTCATTCATTTCATTTTTATTTTACATTTAGAAATTTTTTATTTTGTATTATGGTCTATTATTTCTTCTTTTAATAACTTTATTCTTTATCATAATTTTTACTTTACAAATTCAACACTATTACATTTATAGTCAGCAGCGATACGAAAGGCCATTAACCCGAAAAACTACTGTGGAGTTGACAATATATTACCTATCTCTTTTCATCTTGTGTATTTGTCACATTGTTGGACCCAGCAATTCCTGAGGGCCTAAACTTATCAATAAAAGCAAATACAACATTTTCTAGTATTTGTAGTGAATCATTTCAAATAATCTTTTTATTGGGGTTAGTCATATTTTAAAATAGAAGGGCGATTACTATTAAACAAAAAAAAAAGACAATACACAAACAAATCGATATCTCATTTTGTAATTGATAATCAAAATATAATCAGTAACTTATTGGAATTTGCTTATTATCATCACTACGTGCCGATGACATATGTCAAAAGAAACTTATTTTGTGTTCAAAATTTTACATATTTTATTATTGTTTCTATACGTGTAAAGACCACAAACGTGACATTGGCGGAATTGTGTAAATGCAAATAGGCCATGAATTAAAAAAGAAGAAGAAGACTTTAGTAGCAAACTCTTATCAGTTAGCACGTGGTATATGATTGTTTAATATTAATGCAGAGTAAACTGAAATAGGCCATGAAATAAAAAGAAGAGTAATAATTTCTCAAAATTAAACCTTAGAAATGAGTGACATCATTGATAACGAAGAACTGGATAAAGATACAGTTGAAGCAGAAGTCCTAAAAGATATATTTCGAAATAATTACAGTTTGTTGACAGAAACAACTGTATCATTGAAGAAATCTTATATTAACAAACTGCACGAATCAAAGTAATTTTAAGTAGTAGTTTATAATCTTGTGACATCACTGTTGCAAATCGTTATGTGTTAACTGCACGGCACAACTCTTTAAAGTTTTAAAATCATAATTATAAGAACCTGTTTATAGAAACCGGAGACAATATTAAAGTTTACTTTGACTAAATTGAAAACAAAAACCCCTCATTTTGAGTCGCCTGACCTTAGTTTAGACCCTTATCTATTTTCTATACAGTACTTTTCAATTTATATCCACTTAGTTCTTAAACTTGTTCTTTTCAAATTTGCTTTCAGATCAGGTTCGAAAATAGCAGTAGGAATATCAAACAACAATAGTGTTGAAGTGTTTGAGATAACAAAAGGGTCACTGTCCTCAGTTTGCCGACTCAGCGGTCACCAGAAGTCCCTAACAGAAGTGGTGTTCAGTCCTAATGATGACCAGACACTTTATACCACAGGTCACGATGGTGTTATAAAAATGTGGGACTTGAGGGCTAGCGGAAGCTGTTCTCAGGAATACAAAGGTAATATTTCTTTCTGGTACAGCACAATTTCAAACAAGTATAATATAATACAATAGTATAATATAAACTAATATTGAGTATAAGAATTTGATAAATGAATTACATATTTATTTAGATGATGTCGATGAACAGATAGTGAGGCCATATGAGTGCATGGATGTGTCCTGTAATGGACGTGTGCTCTGTGCTGGCAGTCAGCTGGTGCAGGATGATGCTTATCTTGTGTTCTGGGATCAAAGGAAGCCCACACCTCTTGGAGGGTACTGGAACTCTCACACAGATGATATTACACAGGTGTGTTTCACAATATTTAACTTTTATAGAATCTATTTTATTGAAATTTAATTGCTAATACTTTAATAAATGATTCAAGTAGATTCAGTATGTACCTATTGGTTAACTCAATATCTTGTCTCATTATTTACTACCTCAGTGGCTTCATCCATGTCTTAAACCACTATCATATAACATATATAATAGCAAAATTGTGTCTATTTTGCTATTGGAACTTGTTTTTAAATCTTAATTTGATTTGTACTCGTCAACCTTTTGATTTTCAGGTGAAATTTCACAGAGAGAAGACTGAAATATTAACTACCGGGGCACTGGATGGTTTACTAAATGTCTTTAATATATTAGAAGAGACAGAAGATGATGCTTTAATATTCTCATTGAATGTTGAGAATTCAATAGAAAAAATTAACTGGCTTGACACACACCAGGTCACGTGCACCACTCAGTCAAATGACTTACAAATATGGAATACTGATTCTGGTGACTTAGTCAAAAGTTACACTCGGGATAAAATTGCCAAGAGTATAAAGGTACCTACCTTTTTATAAAACAAACTAAATGTTGTTTGTGACACATGTTCATTGCGTAAATTTCATTTACAGAGAAGTAAAGGAGATGACTGTTATTTGGTAGACACATTTATGTCAAATGACAACAATCCTGTTTTGTTAGCTGGTTCACATGGAGCAAATGGGTAAATATATTCTTAATAGCAATGTTTTTTTTTTGGCCATGGTTCTTTGCTCCATCTTTTTCTTATGCCTCCTTTGCTTGGTATAGTTACTTGCTATTGAGTAGTTCCATACTATTCATTTTCTAGTAACAGACACAGAGTTACATTCGCATTTATAATTATTAGCTGGGATTATGATGACCCACTACACTACAGTTTGTTAGGTGTCACCATAATCTGTAGTCATCTAAAACCACAGAAAAATATAAAATGTGAATTGAAAATTTATCTTGTTGACCATCATAGCTACCTCAATATGCTCAACAGACTAAATTACCATTACTATATATATTGCGTTGTTTGTTCATGGTATTAAATAACTCCACAGAGATGTGCTACGCTCTGTAACAATATTGGAGAAGAAACTTCAGCCGAGGTCTAATTTCAAACAGAACAAGCAAATTGTCAGATGCTGTTGGTATGATAAAGAAGTGAGTAACATCTGAGATGGTAGATTTTTATTTTTGTAAAATGTTTTTATAATGTTATTTAAATGTGTATTTCAGAGGGATATTCTGGTGACGGCGGGCGAGTCGGGTCTAGTGAGTGTTTGGAGTGTTGAGAGTGTGCAACCGAGCTCATGTAAGCTGACCACTTCGTTACACGACCTGCGAGTCAACAGGCATAAACCGTACTGACAACTCTGGCTGTTTTATTTTTATCTTTAATAATATTATATATGGAAATATTACCATATTACACTGATCTTATATAATACATAGTTAAAGCCCTGATATTCCGGAAGCAGATTTTGACAGGCAGCTTTACAGGAATCAAACCCAGGACTGTGGCATCATTTCGAAACTGGCGCGTGAACCAGCTGCAAAATAATTCCTTACCCTATCTACCTACTGTAGTTGCCAGGCGCGATTGGTTTTAAATCGGGACAGCAAGTAAAATAAATCGGGATTAGAGTTTTAAATGGGACCAAACAAAAATGAGGATTTAAAAGGGTGTGCAATATACCTATGGCATAATAACAAAGTATATACAGTTTACAACATAACTAACTACAGTAAGCCCGATGCTTGGAACAAAGTACTAGAAAAACACCTTCGAATAACGTAACTTTGTTTATTATATTGATTACTTCAAATAATAAACGGAAAAAAAAATTTTAGTAGAAATACCCTCCAATTAATATAATTTTCTTTAATTTACTATGCTAATAATAAAGCTGAAGAGTTTGTTTGGTTGAACTCTATAATCTCGGGAACTGGATACTGGGGTGAATAATTTTTGTTTGTGTTGAATAGTCCATTTATCGATAAAGGCTATAATCTATACAACATCACGCTTATAGGAGTGGAGCAGGAATGAAAAATGTTGCCAAGAAACTGGAGAATATTTTACTTTTTAAAGCTTTCCTTGTGTGTTGTCTCTAAAGAACTGAAAGATCCAAAGCTAGAAGAACCAATGAAATTATGTATATTATTAATATAGATATTATACGAAATGAATGTTATTTTAAATGAAATTATGATATTACAAATATTCATTAAATAATTGTAACGTTAATGATATGAAATTATATAAAAGTTGCCATAATAAATTTAGCGCACCCGCTCTAAAACCCAAGGTGATTTATTTATTTTTATTAGTATATTTAGTAAAGTCATCGATTTTTCGGGACATTTAGATGAAGAAATATAAATGTCGTAGGTTAAGTTAGTATCTTAGACTACGAAATATATATTTATAGGCAGGCCCGGGCTTAGGTGACTGGCGCCCTGGGCAAATGGTCTACTGGCGCCCTTTATTACTATAATGTAAAAGCAAATAATCTATGTTACGTATATTTTGTGAAGGAAATAACAAGAAAACTTTCATACACATCACTGTTGACATTTATTTCTACATAATTCACACTTCCAGCAAAGATTATAACTTAAAATTATATTTTTGAGGCAATTTGTTTCTTTCATTTATTTTTATTATCTTTTTTATTTTGCGCCCTCATAAATTTGGAGTCCTCTGCCCATTTATAGCCCGGGGCCTGTTTATAGGTATAGGTATCTACAAGATTAAATATTATAGCATTTATACTATCATATCCTAACCATGTGTGGATAGCTTAAGATGTTAAAATATGTTTTCTCAAGTTAAGACTACATATAGCATCTTAACCGTCTGTTACGAGCTTAACTCGCGAAGTTATAAAAACATAAGGTGTAATATTATTATATTCCAGGACTTCGTGGGGTGGATAAGTTAAGTATACTGAACAACTTTTACTATGGGAGCAACACTGAATTCACGAAATATTAGAGAAATAGAGTTTGTGAGTGGGACATTCAATAAATGATACAGCAAGTTTACTTATAAATTTACTTTTGTTTCGAATATTTTAACATAAAACTAATAAATTATATATATTTATATTAAGCTAACATGTCAAAACAAACCATAGTTCTATCGCAGGTAAAATAAAATAATATGTATTAAGTAATTAATGTAGTTGAGATAATGTTATTCGAATACGTTAACGTCAACTCGATACATACCAGAGGGCCTAGAACCAGTGGCGGACTAAGGGGAGCGGTGGGGGCTATGACTAAGTTAAAAATTAGTGAGCGCGACGGGATGACGGGGAAGTTGAAAAAGTAATGTCTAGTTTTTGTCCCGGTTCTCAATCCGGGCCTATTGCCGCCCCGGGACTCCGCTCCGATGAGGTTAGCCCGCCACTGCCTAAAACTACAACAAACCCTATAATGGAGACGTCGGATATCACATATCTGAGCAAAACTCACTGTTCGTATGATCTATTTATTTTAAACGGGAAATGTATACAATAATAATAAGTCCATTGATTTTGCAACAAGCCGGAATATTGGCGATACAAAACTTGATGGTTTTTAAGTAACACATCCCCACCAATTTTAACGAAGTCACAATAAAACAACTATAATTCCTGGTATTTTAATAAGTTTTGATTTTTTTCTCTGGTAGGTATATCTGCGAGAACTGACATACCGACGATGAGATCATATTATTCTAACTTTATAAAAATTATGGGATAATTACAATTCTGGGTATGAATGTCAAGAGAAAAAAATTAGAATGATTATTCCTTCTCACGAAAGAAAACCGTATTCTAATTTTTTCATACATTATCTCATATACATATTAAGATTTTAGATTACTATTCACAATTCGAAATCTTAAAACTACCGCGAATAAAATATACACGACTATATAGAATTTGCATTGCAAATTGCATTATCTAAAGGATAAAATGTTACATATTTTCAAGTTTTTTTTTGTGATTGTGGTTTACTTTAGTAAATATTAATTCAATTGAATATGGATGAAAATAAATGATCAAATATCAACTCTTGAGCGCAACGATAATCCCGATACAAAGTAATAAAATAACACATTTGTACTCAATTTAAACATCTAACACAATTTTTATATTTAATTAGCATTTATTAAAATCACTCATCTATTTTCTTTATAGACAAGAAATAAATAGGTTATTGGGATAACGTGTGTCCTTACAGGTCCACGGTACCCGCGTGTGATGATATAGTGAGATACAAACTTAAGGAAACATCAAAATGTCAAATTTCAAGCGTCAAGCGGTATTAGACGGTCCCTTAAAAGTGATTCATTTTCAATGAACAGTAGAAAACGACTTTTTGTATTTAGATATTAAATGTGAAGTTCTCTCACAGGTCGCGCGTGTTGAGTAGCATTGATCACAGACTATTTACTGCAGTGAAACAAAAGAGTGGCACTCGTGTTCACGCGCTCATTCATCGTTCATTTCCGATGAAGACGACCGATGGTTAATGCGAAAGTATCATTATAAGGCACATCAGTGATGAACGATGAAGTTTCATTTACGATGTTTCACTGATGAAATGTCTGCAATGAAAGTAATAACAATAGGCACCCGTGCGTCTACGCTGTGGAGTTAAGTCTCACTCGCCTTAATAAGTTTTGAATAGCCGACTTTCAGATTACCCTTAAGTTTGGAAGGTACTATAATGATAATTTTCTGCTTTGTCTTGATTCTGCTACATTTCTATTATTAACGTAATAATGTCATTACAATTAGTTACATATTGTCATTATAATATAAAAAACGAAACGAAACATTGTCACAAATCAATAAGGACAGAAATTTTTCTTTTTCATATTCTAGTGAAATGTGTACAAAAGAATATCATAAATAGGGGATCGGGCAACTTTTAAAAACCTGTTTTTAATTTATCAAGATTTGTTTTTTAATTTAAATAAGCATTATTATGTACTCAAAACTATGTTTAAAATTAAAATGTGCCACATAAACGGCGTCTCTGAGGGCGTGACGTCACTTGTGTAAACAAAAGCGATTATCAGTAAAAATATCGAATTATTTTATGGTATGTTTATATTCAGACACACAAATACAACACTAAATAACCTTTCCAATCATTTTCCACTTAATGCGTACGTAACGTGTCCCGAGTCTTTCATACATACATAGTTTTGTTTCCAAATGAAGTCATACACTCTGATCGCCTGAAGTGAGACACAGAGTGTAAAAATATATTTAAAAAAATGATCTTTTTAATCAGACTTTTTTTTCTGATTGCTGTCCGATCCCCCATTGAAACGTTTTTAACAGGCGATAAGTACGTTAATCGGGTTGAGGCCAGACAATAATATTGTGTGAAATTATCTACTTTCTAATGTCCCACAAGAGTAAATTCAAGTATTCTAAAATTTATTACAAATATCATACCATAAATAGTTTTACTCAATAGGGGTAGCTACTCATAAAAAGTATCAATGTGTGCCGTCTATTTACAACTCTATTGGAATAACATAAGGTCGGCAATGATTCAGATAATATCGCTCTTTAAATTTGTTTGACAGATTATTTTTTAATGTACGTACATTTTTTTATCGCACAAAGACATGAAGAGTATTTTTTTAATTGCTTTATTAATAATTTGATTAAAAAGATAAACCCCGACTCAGTTCATACAGAGCGCGTGAGCGACCACATTCAACCATCACGTCATAGTAGATCCTAACACAACCAATTTCTATCACGTCGTGTGATCAAAGCCACGGATTGCAATTCATATAACTCTGGCATCGAGGGTGTTAATCCATAATAAGCGTTGCCAGGCTTCTTTGACAATCTTAATTCTGTGCTGATAGGTCGGGCCAGATATGTTGTCTTTAAATTGTCTTCTATTCAAAGACAGAGATGCTTATTTAACTGCGAATATCATAAAAAAGAAACGTTTCCTCTCCAATCGCTACAGCATAACGGACACGTCCATGACAACTGGACACCTGGCAACACCACACACAGCTACAGATCGGGTTCGGTATCGATGGTGTAGAGTGCCCTATGACTTAACGATCGAGATGGGCCGCTGTCTACGTGTATATCGACTGGAGATTCTTTTTGTTTCTGCTAGTCCTATAACATAACTAATGCCGCTTTTTTAATAGCATCGAGAAAAGTAATATACAGTAAAAGTAGAAGTGATAGTAAAAGTATAATAATATATACAATGTATAAATTGATTTTTACCCTGCAAAATATATAGATTAGAAACCTACTCGTATGGGCGAAGTGTAAAACATAGGTACAGTTTTTTTTTTCACGCAACAAATAGTGAAATTATATAGAAGACTCTATCGGCCCGTTGCACAAACGTTCATTAAAATTGTCATTAGTTTAAAGCGACACTACCGATACCAATTTGACATTCATTAGAGCTTAAATGCGTCATTAAACCCTAACGAACGTTTGGGCAACCGAGCGTTTGCAACAAAGAGCGAGGAAATTTTTTTTGTCGACCGGACAACGAGTAAATAATTTTTCTTTCTATATCACTTTTTTTCTATGGCATCGATTCGTTCGCCCGTATGATGTTTTTGTGCGACAAAAAAATATCCTAAATGAAATATATATTTCCCTATTATCACAATTTCCGGGACAACTCGGGACTCGTCGGAGGAACACGTCTACGGGAGCGTCAAATTAAACCAAATTCACCGAAACACGCTCAGCGGAAGCATCTTTCCACCGAACACGATCGACACCAGTTCATTGATAATTCTAAGGAGAGACAACGGACCGGAGTCCAGGGGAATATTCTACAACGGCAGAAGGTACGGGGAGGGCGAATCGGCCAGGTCGGTCCCGCTCCAGCCTCGTCATCGACGACGCCGCCCGGGGCGATTCACTTCGAGGCGAGGAACAATCTGGAACGAGAAGCGAATTAGATAATCCTCCCCTTCGGCGTGGAACGTGGCGGAATGTGGCGGAGCGCCGTGTCGCACCTGAAGTGTATGGCCTTGTTGGAGAGCAGCCGGTTGGCGTCGGCGGGGTCGGCCAGCGGCAGCGGCTGCGGCGGCGCGTCGGCGGCCGCGTCGGCGAACGCGTGCTGCTGCAGCCGCGGCCGCAGCGCCGCCTCGCCGAACGGCCCGCGCAGCCACGCCCACTGCACCACCACCGGCGACGACGTCTTGCTCTTCAGGATCAGCTGCAGATCAGGAAGGGGACGTCGCACCTTCACCGAGATACCGATTGGGAGCGTTTCCGAGAAGAGGGGCGGCACGAGTTTGTCGTGCTCCGCGTGCCGCTTGAATATTCTCGGTTCACGAAGAAAACCTTTCTATAACCGAGTCGCCGGACCCGTCCGACGCGGTGAAGAGGACGAAGAGAGCCCTCATACTCGATTAGGAGAAACGGCGGTGAGTGACCGCTTCCCTATACCGATCATCTCTATCGACCAATTCGCTTCCGGCCTGGCGACCGATCTACGATATATGTGTCTCAGATATTCTATTCTTATGTCATTTCGAAACTCACCTCATTTATGCCATGTAACGTTATTACCAATTCAAGATGTCGCTTTTCGGACAGTTCAAATAATTCGAATTCGGGTTTGGATTTTTACAGAAATGCATATTGTATTGTATAACAGATACAATTTATTTGCTGCTTTATGTTACATTTTCGTACCTTAATCTGTAAGTTTTACATGCCCTATTATTCCTCGTAATTCTGGGTCGTCACTGTTTTGTGCTTTAAATAAATAAATAAATATTCGCTCTAGAGCCGAAAATGTCGACAGACTGCAAGAGACGGAGAAAGCGATATGATTTGACAACGGTATTTTCAAACGTATCCTGGATTTAATTTTATTTTTAAAAAGTTTCATCGTTTTATGTGGGCGCTGCCGAGAAGTCTGAACTTTAAAATAAAACATTCCACCGACCTGATAAGTGATTTCCCGCTGCGAGCTCTGCGTGGGGTCGCGCTGGTTCTTGTTGATGAACGCCTTCACCACCCACTGGTGGCCGAACGCCGAGAACCGCGACGTCTCGTAGTACAACTTGTGCACGTACTCCTCCGTGCGGTACGGCTTCAGCTGCAGATCTGCACATCGCACACGCATACAAACATACACGCATTACATAACGCTTTTCACTATGATAACATTGCACACAGTGCTGCTACAAATATCTAATTAAAGTAAGAAATAAATGTTTAGTCTTGTTATTGGACATTATAAGGTCAATATCGGTATTTATTCAAATGGCCTCCACCCTACCCGCCAATTTCTGCAGTGCAAAAAATGTAACACGTAGAATACGATGGTGCTTCGTGTTGGATTTAATGTTTTTATTTATTTACTTACAAAAGAACACAAGTTTTATATAATATAAGAGTCGAAATCGGAGAGCCTATAGTGGATATGTCCCTATGATAATACTATATAGTCGATCCGGTACTGACCGGTGAAGGAGATCTTCTCGTAGGAGAGCAGGTCGAGCACCTGGTCGTAGAGGGCGTTGGCGTCGCGCGCGCGCCGCTCGCGCTCGGCCAGCGTGGCCACGACGGCCGCCGCCGACTTGTGCGGGTGCGCGCACGCCGCCTCGTGCGCGCCCGCCTCGTGCGCCGGCCCGCGCCACGGGCAGCCGATGCACTCGAACCGGCAACCGGTTATTCTGCACACCACCGCCCCCGCCCCTCTTATATTCTAAGGCCGAGAGAACTCACGCGCCCCTAGGCACAGTTTTCGATTCCTCGACGTTCGCCCGAGAGTATAGTTTGTCCTGAACGAACATCGGTGAGCGCTCAGGACGGGAACCGTGCTCTACGAGAGACGAGTTTATATAAAATTTTCACTCGCGGGTTAGCTGTACGCTCTGGTCGTTTGTAGATAGCCGAGAGTGGGTACAGAAGACTGCGCGTAAGAAGGACATCCATTCTCGGCTTCTCTGAATTTCTAGGCGGGATGCCCGGGGGTCCGACGATATCCTTCTTTTCCTGTCATCTCCTCCGAAGAGATCGGAACGTGCCAAACGGGGGGCCGGAGCGGCAGTTTGAGGTGAACGTTTAAAGAAGCAAAGAAAGCCCTCACGAAACGGACGTGGCGCCCTCGTGCACCGCACAGTGGGTGTGTTACCCACACGAGGATGTGAGAAGCGGAGCCCTAGTAACGCCGCATCTATATTTCCGACGGATAGTGAATACTTATACGTAGAACACGAAATTCTTTATTAGTCCGTGAGCTATTGCACTAATAGAAAATAACCAATTTATCATAGGTTCTACATTAAGTATTTATAATAGTGCAGATCCTGCAAAGAGCGTAGGCTACCGCCGTATTTGTGACATATTCTTATGCGGTCCCGGAGCTCCAGGGGCCCCACATTGATGTGGATTATCCAAAGTTATAGTTGTAATGTCATCCACGATCTCATACAAACAGTATGTATCTTTACTAAAATGTCGGTCATAGAAATTATTATATAGGGTCGTGTATGTATAAATACTCTATATTACAGGATCAAGAAGCCGAAGACCCGAATGAGTGTGCGTAGGATGTCCATTAAATATTTTCGTGTCATAAAATATCTTCACGAATAACGCGGAAGTTATGTATTCTGATCGCCGATAGAGCAGATACGTCATATCAAAATCTTCACGTAAAATGTTTTTGAACAGAATAATTAAAGCATGGAACAAAACATCTTTACAAGTTTGGTTCGCATCGCACCATGTGAGAGATAAGCAGTTAGTGGTGTGATAGTACCTAGTGACGCAACTACAATTGGCGAATAGCGTATACACCGCTAATTTTATTTAATAATTTAAGTTTACTATTGACCGAAATTTGTCGAAAAGTCACAATATTTTACGAAAAACCTTACGAAGAATTTAATTGTTAGACGCTTATTAATACGATTTAACGAAGATGTCTACGGTTAACTTTTATATATTTTTAAAATTCGCTCTGTAAACGCAAAATAAAGAAATTAGCATCCATGTAAACAATTTTCAAGGAATCCCTCTTATATATTATATCAACATTTTATTCCAAAATTGTATCGCAACGGTATAAGAAGGAAGGTCAACATGGACGTCCACGCTAGAACGTGACGCGTCCTCATTACATTTGTATCACGTTAAATTTAAAATAGATTATTTTTAATGATATTAGGCGAATGCGAATGTTTGCTTCACGATTAGTAACCCGTTGGACACACCTGCGGTGCCATGGACGCTTGATCGGCGCGGGAGTATCGGAGATGAAAGTTGAGCGTCCCAGAGCCGCAACGCACAGCGCGTATACTGCCGCAGCGATGCGAACCAAACTATCCAGGATTCGCCGTTGCGGCGGCGACGTATCTACTACCACCTGCTCGAACTTGTACTCCCTGGGCAAGAACGTGGGTGGCATAATAATCATAATGTGGCTTAATAATTAATGATAGAACCCCATCCGACTGGCCACTATGTCACACTAAATAGGTATAAAAACCCAGGCATGAAATCGTCTCTAGCTCTATTTTAAAAAATCTAAAAAATAATCATAATAATAAACAAGATGTTTTATACCTCGTGTGTTCTTAAGTTTTGAGACAAACTTTTTACTGAAAAACAAAATAAAATGTTACTAGCTGTTATTCATTTATTTTACCGATTTGGAATGTTAACTCTTAGTTTACTTGTATCTCAAATTCATTTGTTTATATTTTCCCGTGATGGAGGGAACGAAACCGCGAAATGAAAAGTTTTCCTCGTCGGCCACGCTCTGTGAGGACTGCGAACATCATCCGAGAGCGATTTCGCCGAAATCCATGTCATACTCAAAGGAAACTCGCTCTGCAGTAAATATAATCTTGAGGTAAAGGCCTATAGCCGTAGAAAAGTTCACTTCTAAACGATCGTCGTCGTAAGTTACGACGCGAACGTTGTCCCTTGCCGCTGAAGAGACATGAGAAAATTTTTAGTGGCGAATAAAAGTTAAACCGACAAAACAATAAAGTGTACGCTAAATGTAGTAAGGATGCCCCAGCTTCTGCACGGAATGTGTCGCGCACTCATCATCCGGCTAGTTAGCGGCTATATTTCTGCCAACAAGGTATCAAGGTGAAAGCCAAGAACTATCAGTGACATTTTAGAGCCCGAGGTGAAACCCCTGTCTAATATGTTATTTCACAATAAGTATTGAGTTTTTATTTATTTGAATATTTTTTATTTGAGTATTGAGCGCCATCCCATAAGGCAAAAAGCACCCAAGCTTCATTGAGGGAGAATGTGCCGGCCTTCATCGCGGCGGACGAGTGGCCCTTCTCCAGCCCCGACCTCAACCTGCTGGATTATTCTTTACGGACTGAATTATAGTTCAAGGCCTGCCGAAAGTCCAACCTAAACTTGGGAGTCACTGAAGCGAACCCTTGTTCGAGAAGCAAAGCTAATGCCGCTAGAAAAGATTCGTGTCGCCATTGATGACTGGCCAAGTCATCTAAGGGGCTGTATTAAAAACATGGGCGGTCATTTTGATTATTATCTATATAATGGTTACTGAAAATTTTAGAGATATAGGTTAATTATTAAGAAAGTTACGCAACTTTTATTTCGTCTCAATCCTTATGAACACACGAGGTATGTGTGTTGATACAAACTATTATTTCAGTTTAATGAAATAAATGTAACAATTATTTATTACTTAGCTTTTGTTCTCATAAAATCTGGTGTCCTACATAATACAGGCAGAGGGCAGGATGGGCCATTACCCATGGTCTTATGGTGCAAAGAGCCTTACATCTCAAAGCCAAAATAAATTATGAAAATCAAATTGTGCATGCCGCAAAATATATCAATGAAAAAATATAAAATAATAAATGAAACAATGCAAAAATACAGATTATAGTTCCCTAGATAAAAAAATATTTTCTTTTATTACAATTAGACTTTTTGCATCATTATTGGCCCTAACAAAATAGTGTCAGGCCCACATTTATGTCTTGCATCGCCTCCATGTTCAGTGAGTAAACAGTGAGTGAGCATCAATATAACCTACCTGTTCTCACAAGTTTTTTGTTCATGATGCTGAAGAGAGTGCCGGGGGAACACTTGTGTGCAGTGTTTGCACTCTGCTGGCAATTCAGAAACTGTTTTCTCAACAGCCAGGTTTCTAGAGGCAGTTGTTTTGGAGATCTCAACTCGACAGTTGGGGCACGTGGCCGCCTCATCACGCAGACGTGCGTCAGCCAGCAAATGCGTGAAGCAAGTTGCACACATAAGGTGACCATTGCTACACTGAAATTTAAAAAAGCATTCAGCATTGCAATCTTTAAAGTTACTGTCAATTCTCAGGTATACCAATAAATGAGTTTTTTTTTTATTATTTTCACATGACCACATCTACATACAACTCTCTTGATCAATAGAACAAATATGCAAAGCATTTCTCTTCATGTATGTCAATTGCAGATGTTGATCTGTGATTTCATATAAACAAACAAGATTATGTGTGAATCATGTCTACATGGTCTACCTCTGCCCCTCAATGATTGTGCTCCTGTAATCAAACTACATAAGAGATATGGCTGTAACAGAAAACAAATCAAATTTAAATGGCAAATGATACTTCACAATATAACATTAGAAACATGCAAATATATATTTGATGTCTAAAAAATTAAAATTGATTCAATAAATTTAATTTAAATTCAAATATTCTTAAAGAATAATTTAAAAACTAGTGATGTTATATCACTAAAATTACATTCAACTGCTTAAAGACCTTTTCATCAACAAAGTATGTGTAGTGTGAAATGTTTATTATAAAATCTGTTTAATTGTTCTTGATGGGAATGAGGATTTAAGGGGGAGATCTAAATAAAGAAAGAACTACATCTCAGGAACATTTCTTTATTGAAATTGAAATGTTACAAGAGTGAATACAGGCTATTTATATAAACTAACTAGATTATCCTTTACAACACTAGTACAGGTTTATAATCACAATAATTGTATCATATGTTGACAATACACAACAATCAGGTACAGACAAGAGATCAATTAATCATCCACATAAAACTATAACATAACAAATTTCATATATATAAGAACCAACTAGTAGGTAAGCCATAATAAAGGGCAATACAATTGCAATTTACATAATTCTAAACTTTTACATTGGTTTTTAAATATAAAATAGGTACCTAATGAAATGTTAGACTAATGTTAGTGTAAGTAAATGACGCCACAAATAATAACGTCACAAAATGGTGACAGTAGAGGGTCGTGTAGGCGTCGCCACGACCCTCTTTTCTATATTTCGTAATAGTTTATTGCTCATTGAGCAGTATTGTATACATTACATAATTGAAAAAAAAATGGTAAAACAGCTGATACGCGTAAAGTGGGTGATCAGCTGTTTTAGAATACCTGGTAGACAGCCGCCTGCGGCAGGTCGAGACAAACTGCGCAGCACAGGATGCCCCCGAGCCTGTGCTCCAGCTTCTCGTTGACCTCTTTGTCTACTTTGCGTTTCTTAGCCATGGGTTCTTCCTCATCTTTTTCATCACAAACGACTGTGTTTTCACTTGATGAGGGAATAGGATCATTTTCAGAAGCTTCAGCCATTACGTACGTAAAATTTAAAAAGATAATAATGTACGTTAATAAATTAAACAAAAATCGACATAACAATACAACACTTCCTTCACCTCACAATACAAACCATAAACAAACAACCACATCAAGAGTATAAATAAATTCAAAGAATAAAAAGTAAGCGAAAGTAGGGATCTTGTTCTTTAATCGATTACATCGAAAACTTTTTTGCCTACCACATCGATCTCAAGATCATTACAAAACGAACAGATCGAATATCGATCTTTACTATTATGTCTATAAATAATCTTTATTTTTCCTCCTTAATTAGAAAACAACGGCAATCATAACATACATTAATATCAGTCAGCAGTTTCCCTTAAGTAATAATTTGATATTATCCCAATAATTTAGATAGATAGGTTTTTGTACGCCATTAGGAGCATTGATCTATTTTTACAAATTGATCTTTACGTCATCGACTATTTCCCAAATCGTATTAAATTGATTCTTTTGCTATAGATCGGAAACCCTAGAGTAAGTAGTGCTCATAAAACTATCAGTCTTTTCTTTACTATTGCTCGAACCAAGTACCTGCAGCCATATTCGCTAACTCAACTGGCAAACTAAAGTCGTAATCACCGAAAAAGACATAGAATTGAAAAAATCCCTAATTCGTATTTTCTATCAATGTTTCGTAATTTTGAAATGCTACGTACGTGAAGTTGACACATAGAGTTGACATTAGTTACTGAAAAAACTGACATTAGTTACTGCATGCTGCATGCTCAATCGATGCCCTATGTAGTTTGTGCTCAACAGCGATTGATTCGTATTCATGATATAACGTGTTTTTGAATGAATTTTGATAATGAGTAAGTATTGAATCTATATCTCAAGAATACGAGCTCAGATTTGACGAAAATTGTGATCGTCAAAGAATGGGATTGAAAATGACATTGAGATTGCGTTCAACAGAAAGCCTGCGAGCTCCATCTCTGATTATACATAAAACTGGATTGAGACACATATTGTCTCCATTGAGACACTTGATATTGTATCGATACCCAGATAGAAATTTAAACTTGTTTCTGACTTGCAACAAGTTTGATATATCAAAAAAGAAGACTTGCTTCAAGTTTGCCATGACAAATGCAGCAACTTGTAGCAAGTTTAAATCAAACTTTCTAGTTTCAGTGTGACAAACTTGCACTACCTTTGACGTATCAAAGATAGTGCAAGTGTACTGACTCGAATACTTAGCAGGTATTCGGGTACTGGAGTACCTGGAATACAGGTTTCGAGGCAAATACTGGGTGGAACAGAACGACCGACACTCCCGAGGTTCCTGGAGAGTACTATTTGTCTTTAATATAATGTAAAAAAATTATAAGTCTAGGTCAAATAGTTTTAGTGATATTAAATTACAAAGTTTTTGAATAAAAATGAGTGTTTTCAACCCTGAGTCAGCTGTTTTTGGTACGTACGTACTAAGGAAAAGTTTTTAATCGGTCATTGACTTCTTCATTTCTAAAAATAAAATAAACTAGTTTGTGATTTATAAGACTGCTTTCATGCAAATTCTAGCAGTCAATCAACAAACAAGGCAGTCAAAATGCTTAAATCGATTAACAGACTAACAGCCGGTTTATGTTTTGTGAAAAAGAAGAAAATTTCTACTGCTTATTCTCAATAACCTAGTTTTTTTTTTAATTTCACAAGTCAAATAGTCTTAGTTTTATCAAACTGCTATCAACTGATCATCAAAAAACCAAATCGGAAACGAAAACTAAGTAATCTTAGTTTGAGACGTTTAACTTTACATACTCAATTAAGCAACCGAGTGTAAAATTTCCTAAATTATTGTAGAGAGATCACTCTAAGATTAATCTACGTTATTTTAAAAGAGCAGTTCTCCATAAAAATTGTTTGAATGGGGTGATACTCCTTTAACAACGGGATCGTTAACTAAACTCGATAAACTCACAAATCTTCCAGCGATTCATCATTAACACAAATGAACTTTGTTTTAAAAACATTGAGGAATTTGTTATTAAAATAGCATTTAAACAGAACTTTAAAAAATGAGTGATATCAAAAGACGAATAAAAAAATATGAACCGAGTTCGTCCCTCAATATCAAAGCCCCGCCCACCCGCCAGCCGCCAGGCGGTTTTATTATTCTGTTGGTATCGTCCGGTCGATCAGTCGCCGTCGACCTTTTGCGCTGGAGTGTTGTTGCGCATCGCCGCCGACGCACCGCTGCGAAGCGTCTTTTTTGTAGATTTTTGTTTTGTTCTAGTGCATTTTTAATTGAATTGTTGTTAATAAGATACTAGAGTGTTCGTCTCGAGTGTTATGTTTAGTTTAGTGAAGATTGTGTTTAGTTTTGTGTGAAATGTGATGTGTTTTGCGCGTGCATACACTGGCATGCAAAAGAGCGTGCTTAGCTGTCTTCAGAGAAGAATTGAAAATTTTCAGCATCGACTATCATTAAGATATCGGTAAATAATTAAATTAATGTATTTCGTGGTCCGTTGTAATCTGCGCACAATCGATATTGCGCATGCGCGTTAAAGGGCTGTCAACACTTAGAAATTTAAAATTTTTACTCCATTTTTACACCTCTTCTATTTTTAAATATTTGTCAAATAAAATGAACGTTTGCATGTAACCTAACTTGAAACTTTCGGCTGTGTCGGTCATTTTGTTCCTCCCGGTATTACTTTTTTATTAATCTTTTCAAATCTTTTGGTCCAAAAGCGATTGCGACTTTAAACTCAGAGTCAGACCACAGCACAGATCGGAGGAAGGAGGCTTCATTGGATACCAACACAGCCGGCTGTGAGGGTTATGTCAGACTCTTACTGACTAAACACCGCCTTGGACTACTGGTTGCGTGCCCTGATGGGGCAACGAACCTTCACCGTAGCGACTGCCCCCCCACAAGGGGGGGGGGGGCAGCGCAGACGTCCGCCCCCCCGCAAGGGGGGGGGCAGCGCAGACGTCCCTATTCACTTACATGAATAGTGACGTCGAGATGTTTAGCCGTTAACCCCGGGGGGCTCGGCACATCGGATTGAAATACAGCTGACTCCCTGAAGGGGAACGATCAGCCAGAGTTGATGGGGGTTGACCTGTGGGGTCGTGGAGGGCAGGGGGGGGAGCTATCACGTACCACCAGGAGGGTGCTACGTGATGCCCTTAAAAAGTGCGGCCGCTACCCTGATGGGATAGCGGTCGAAGAGAACGGAGACGGGGGTTGATCTGAAGGGTCGGGAGGGGTAGGAGCGGGATCCGCTTGCTGGGCCTCCAGGAGGAGGTCCACCTACGTTGGAGGCGGTTGGCTACGGCTCTGTATTCCGGAGTGGGGTATTTGGCTGCTCTCCGGAGAGCTGTGTTTTTGGCCCTTCTGAAGTTCCGCAGATCCGGAGGGATGTCACTGTGATGTTTCACAGGTACCTCCCTCGCGTTATCCGCTAGAGCCTTTTGGACCGTGTGGGTGAGGTTGTCTACCGCACTATCTATTTTCGCCGTACTATCGAAGTAGTCGGGTCCAGTAGCGTGCGTGCGTTATGAATTTGGATTGTTGATAGCCGCTGAAAGGGACGATTTATAACCGTCCCAATTAGTGACCATCTTGGTAGAGGGGCGGGGGGGGGGGATTCCCTAGGACTAGGGAGACCGGGCGATGGTCGGAGCCTAAATCGTCGAGGGAATCGAATGATTTAAGTCGGAGAGAGATACCCTTTATTAGTACAAAGTCTAATATGTCGGGGTCGTGGTCGAGGACATAGGGATAATGAGTAGGGGAGTACGGGGTGATGATGTTTAACTCGAGGGCTTCGAGTATGTTTTTCAATACTCTGCCGCCCCGGTTAGTTTTTAAGCACGACCAATCGGTGTGCTTAGAGTTGAAGTCACCAAAGAGAACTACTGCATCTCCTAGGGCTAGGAGTGCTTCGAAGTCGCTTTGGATGGGTAGCGAGCCGGCCTCTATATAGACTGAGGCTATGATGAGGGTGCGATGACCCGTCATAGCCAGTCTACATACAGTGGCTTGCATATTGACTAGAGGGGGGGAGCAATGGAGTGCCCTCTTATAGCAGATGGCGGTACCGCCGGAAGCGGTCCCACTGGGAGGGATGGGCTTATCGTTACGCAGGAGAGCGTAAGATTGAATCGCGTGTCCGACACGGATGGCGGGCTTGAGTTTGGTCTCTTGTATTAAGAGAAAATCGGTGTCCCTATCGAGTGCGAGTTGCCTGAGTTCAGGTACTTTCGCTCGTAGTGAGTTTGCGTTGAATGAGATAAGCGATACACCTACCGGTCTAACACGCCCGGAGGAGGTCGCCACTACCGTATTCGGGGAACCTAACGTGCTATTCGTACTTATGATAGAATACGTAATAGCGACTCGTGCTCGCATAGCGCCAGTAGGCGCTCATGCGCGGACGAGGCTCGGCGGATCTTAGCCGCAAGGATGGAGACTTCATCGATGTTGATTCCACGAATCGTGGCTAAAACCAGATTCATGTCGTCTGCCAAAGATGAAGGGGCGGGGTTGGGTGCGGGAGGAGAGGCGAAAGCCCTTGGAGGGGGTTTTGCCTGCGGGGGTTTCGAGGGGGGCCCCACGCCGGTTTCGGTGCGGGAGTGGGGGGAGTGGTTTTCACCCTAGGAAGAGCGGGGAAGTGTGCCGCAGTAGGCGGAGGGGGTGACAAAGGCACCTTTTGGACCGCCGGGCCCTTACCCTTCTTCTTAGAAGAGGGTTTGGGCTTCGGCGCTCTCGGGCAACCTTTGTAGTTTGCTGTGTGACCGACTTGGCCACACAGCACGCAAGCGGGAGGGGTTGCAGTATCTCGTGTGCGAGTACACTCCTTTGTGGCGTGCGGCTCGAGGTACTTGACGCACCTCGGAGTCGCAGAGCAGTTGGCCGCCGCGTGACCATAAAGTTGGCAGCGTTGGCACTGCCCAGGGGTGCCACGTCGGTGTGGGGGCTCTACTTTGACCCCGGAAAGACCGCAGACCCTAAGGTCTTTGGCCTTAAAAATGTCGGCCTTAAATTTCATGAATTAAGTGTTTGCATTTGGGACATTTGTGAGAATGAGTAGGGCCAGGGGGAAGGGTTTTGCAGCCCTACTGTGCATCTTGTGCACGGATTCCACGGGGAATCCTTGTTCGTTCAGATCCTTGTGGATCTGATCTGTCGCGAGTTCGTACGGTACGTTCCGTAGAACAGCGCGAATTTTACGCTCTTCTGGGAGGGCGTAAGTGTGATAAGCCCACCTTGTGGTGGGTGAGAAGTCTAGTGAGGGCTCTAAAGTCCTCACTAGAGGGTGTTTCCACCCGGATGGCTACACCCATGTTTTTGGCATGGGTGTAGCAGCTTTTGTTTGACGAGCAGAGGTTTGATACCTCTGCCCATCTAGCTTTGTCCCGTATAAAAACGGGCGGCGGGGGTTTAGGTTTGCCCGGTTTCGGATCGCACTTGCTGTGCGGGCGGGCGGGGGGAGGGGTAATACTGTGGGAAGTATTAGCCCGTGGTGGGGGAACGAACTCGGTATTGCCTCTGGCAGGCTTATTACCGAGAGAGGTTTTCTCTACGGTATTGCCTACCGAGGGTACCTTGTCCAGGACTATGGACATGAGGGGTTGTGGGGGTGACGTCCGAGGAAGCGTCTCCACTAGCTCTGGGAGAGCGTGGCTTGCGACCGACGCTTCCTGCGATTCTGAACCGTATGAAAATTAGTAGTTGCGTCAGTGTCCGATGACCTGAAAAGGTCATCGTCTGACTGGGGAGCGGAGCGGGATTGGGATGGGGACCGCTGAGAAGCGGTCCTCTTGATGGAGGCGCTTTCGCACTCCATGACTGGGGGTGTGGGAGAGGGCGACGCCGTTTGGATCGCGGAGCACTATGGCAAAGACGGAGGGAGGAAGTAGTTGTCGCAATTCGGCTAGGCAAGCAGCCGACATTTTGGAGACAAGAAGAGGACTTGAGCAAAAGGCGAGCGTTGAGAGCGTTGTTTTCCGTCACACCTACCTAGGTAGGCTAGAGGGAAGACAGTAAAAGCAAAAAACGATCTGCCGAGGCGAGGGGGGAAGGGGGGCGCGGAAAGAAGCTGCGGCTATCCCTATTAGATATAGTGCACTGGGATCGGGTCTTCGGTGTTGCTAAAGCCTGAAGGGCCTTAGCGAGCGCACCGGGATCGCTCAGTTGGCTTAGTTGCCACCGTTAGGTATCCACCAACTCAAAAACTTGAGAGTGAGTCAAGTCCTACTGGTTTAATGTTTTGAAAAAAACAAAATCAGCAGGGCCTGCGCTCGGGGGTGCAGAAGGCACGAGATGTACTTACAGTTGTGGAGGTAGAAGAGAGTCGTGTACGCACACGAGTGCGCGCAACGAAAGCAGAGAGCGGAATCCGAGATCACATTAAACGGCATATTACTTATACAATCTAACAATATAAACTGATACCGCGATGCATTAAATGAACAGCACCATCTAGTTTGCAGACTTAGAACTATTCGGGCACCTATGAAGATGATGTGTGTGTTACAAATAAGTATCTCTGTCATAACAATATTCAAACAATATTGTCGCAAACTGGAAACTTCATATTTAACATAACAATATTGCAGCGACATCGTCACAAACTTGCCTGGAATATATTAGACGCAGCAATTTAGAATTTAAGAAAAATCAAACTTGCCCCAAGTTAGCATGCTATCTGGGTATAGTAACTTAAAAGTATATAGTCCCTCCCTGCGCCGCGAACAGGGAGCCAAGATCTTTTGGAACGGAATTTAGACACATGGTCAAATTTACGAAGGTAAAAAATTTAAAAGAAGTTTAAGGAATGGCTTGGTTCTAACAAGACCGATCACGCGGGGAGAACTGTTCACGCCTTCGCTCTTGCACAGGACTTGACACAACTGGTCACTACGCCTACGCGAATCCCAGATGTCGACAGTCATGATCCTTCACTGTTGGATCTTTTGTTAACCTCCCATCCTGACGGCTACTTCATATCTGTTGACGCTCCACTTGGCTCCTCGGACCACTGCCTTATTTTTTTTTTTTTTAATTGCCCGGCCTACAATATTTGGCCGAGCCCTACGCTGCACCCCACTTATTAGCAGGCCTTTGTTAATAGCTACCTTCTCTTTCATTCCAGTTCTATCTCTTTTGCTATCCTTTCATTCTTCATTCCTTATCTTTCTTTTATTCTATTCCTCATTCATTCCTCGAGCGACCAGGGCCGTCGCATCTATTACTATTCCTATTCTATCTTATTCTATTTTAAATAAATTGGACTCCTTTTTTATTTCATGTTACATTCTTGTCCTTATTCTAGTTAATCCTATTAATTCTTTGTTTTTTACATCCTATTTTGTTTTAGCTTCTATAATTATGTTTTACATTTGATCTTATCTTATGACATTTCTTTTGATATTTGTTACATTTTACTTATTTTCTTCTTCATTTATGTATGTTACTTTGCTACATTTTATACATTTCTATCATAATTCTATTTGTTTCACTTAATATGTATTTTGTTTTATTCAGTTGTCTTATCCTGTCACATTACTTCTTGTTATTTTTATTACATTTTCTTATTTTATTACATTTGTGTATCTTACTTTACTACGTTTTTATACATTACTAACTTAATTCTATTTGTTTTTATTGCTATACACTTCTTGTTTTATTTTACATCCTTTCTTATTTATTCTAATAACAATATTGACTTAGTCATTGTTACACTTGTTTATTTCTACTTATTCTATTACAATATGTTTTATTCTAGTATTATTTCATTCTTTACCCCTTTTATTTTAGTCTGTTTTATTTTATTTCCTGTTATGTTTTCTTTTCCTATGTTTAAACTTATCCTATCTTTGTTTTATTATTCTATATTTATTTTATTTCTTGGTTGGGTTTAGTTTGTCATATCCTATATATTCTTTTAATTTTTATTCTTTTGTTGGCCACTCTGGTATATGCTATTCATATGCCGTTTTGTGCCGTACTTATCTTTTCTGTTTTATTCGTTTTATAATTTTATTTGAGAGTATTTATAATCATTATACTACTTCTCAAGATGTCTTATTTTATTGTAATGTATTTCGTCATGCCTTCCTTTATCTCATGATATATTTCGTCATGACTTGTTTTGTGTTTGTTTTTATTTGTTTGTAGATTTCCCATCATGTCCTTATTCATCATTTCAAAGATGTTTATTTTGGTTATGTGGTTTCTCTTTGTGTAGCTGTTTTGTATTTTCTTTTGTGTGTATTTTGATGTGTGTTTGTGTGTATGTGTTGTTCTTTTTGCTTTTTTATGTTGTGTTGTTTGTGTGTATTCTGTGTTCTGTGTTCCTTCATATGTATGCTGTAGTGGAGAGAGCCAGATATTCCCATTTCTCCCTGGTGCGACATTCATTACTGAATGCGTTATGGCTTGTATCGTCCTGTTTTGAGTGCGTGCAGTTGCAGCACCTCGGTGGTTCCCCTCTATCCCTCTATCCGGGCAGTCAGCTCTAAGATGGAGGCCCCCGCAGTGGCTGCACCTGTCAGCACTCTGCGTACAAAATTTTCGACCGTGGCCGAATTGCAGGCACCTCGTACATTGTATGAGAGGCGATTGGTTCTCGACTCTCACTCTCTCCATTCCAATGTAGAGGTGTCCCCGTTTGGTCATTTTGTTCCATATTGTGGGTTTGACCTGAAGTACTATATGGCAACGCTCGGTATCTCTTGCTTTTTTCATAAATTTAATTTTGATCTCCTTTTCTTCTTCTTTACCAAATATAACATCATTTTGCTTAATTATCATTTCCAGTGCTTCTTCGTCGGTCATCTTGTATATGGTGTTCTTTAGCACCACAAGTGGATCCTTGTTTTTCATCTGTTCTACTGTCATTCCTTGTGCATTTCTCAGTTTCTTTTCGATATTATCTATATCTTCTTTTTTATTGCATGCTATTACTATTTTCTGGTCCTTGCTTTTCCTAACTTTATCTATCCTCACTTTTCCCTTTTCTGCTTCCAGTATTTTGCTTGTCCTCTGCAATACTTCCTCGCTGGTATCCATTTTGTTCTCCGAGGATACTGTTAACGAGTGTACGGTTTCGATTTTTTGATGTTTGCGTCCAATTGTTATGTTGGCATACGTATCCATGCGCTCTCCCTGGTCACCTTCTTTCTTACTTTCCTTTATTGTCTTTTTGATTTCGTCTTTTGTTTCTTCAGTTTTTTCTTTTATTTTTTTTATTGTTTCATTACATGTGCCCAAGATCTTGTATATATCATTTTGATTTGTTATTGCAATATCCATGTTCTCATGTGCTAGGTCTATTTTTTCTTTTATTTCATTGGTGTTTTCATTAATTCTATTCACAGTTCCTTCTACTTCCTGTGTTTTATCCCGTATTTCCTTCAAATTGACCATTTCACCTTCTACGTACTTTTTGAAGGATTTAACTTCTGATATTATTTGCGCTGTACTGCTTTGGATGACCGATCGTTCTACTGGGCCTATTAGCTCGTAAACTTTTGCTGTTATTACCTTTTCAAAATCTATTTTTATTTTCTTTTGTATATCTATCACTTCTGCTACTATGTTATCCTCTGATGATTCAATTTTTTTATTTATGTTACCTGTTTTTTTTTTTATGTTAGTGATGACTTCTTCTACTTTCTTTCTCCTCTTCTTTTTCCTTTTTTTCTCTTCATTCGTTCATATTATTTCCTATCATTTCCTTTATTTCTCTCAATTGCTCCTCCACTTCCCCTTTAGCCTCTTCTTTTCCTGTTGCTGTTTCTCCTTCCGCTATTCTTCTGCTCATTTTCCAGCATGACTGTCAAGCCTTTATCTGCTATCTCCTCAATTTTTAATTTAACGTCTCTCCTCATCTGATTGTAAACGGTTTCAGCTGTATCTTCGAAAACCTCATGGGAGACCTGCTTTAGTGCAGCCGATCCCAAAAAAAGGTAACCGCTCTAACCCGTTTAACAACAGGCCGATCACTATAACCCCTTTGCTTTCAAAAATAATGGGGTCCATTATCAACCGCCAGCTCCTTCGGTACCTAGAAGATCACCAGTTGCTTAGTGACCAACAATACGGATTTCGTAGTGGCCGCTCTGCTTCTTCTAGTTTACTTGACAGATAACTGGGCTAAGGCAATTGGAACAAAAGGGAAAGCCCTGGCAGTAAGTTTGGACATGGCGAAAGCCTTCGATCGAGTGTGGCACAAAGCTCTTCTGTCAAAACTTCCCTCGTATGGGCTTCCAGAGAAATTATGTGCATGGGTCACTAGTTTTTTGGCAGACAGAAGCATTAAGGTTTTAATCGACGGTGAATGCTCAGACCTACTGTCTATTAATGCTGGTGTTCCCCAAGGATGTGTGCTATCGCCTACACTTTTTCTTCTGCATATTAATGACATGCTGCAAATTAGCGGTATTCATTGTTATGCAGATTAAAGCACGATGGACTCCTCCTATAACGGTCGTGCAGGTATTTCTCGGAAAAGCGTCATTGAGAGCCGGAATCAACATGTGTCTGTTAATGATTCTTCGTTAGAGGAAGTCTCTAACTGGGATCGACTTAATTTGGTCCATTTCAACCCTACTAAGACATAGGTTTGCGCGTTCACCGCCAAAAAAACCCCATTTGTCGTATCACCTCGCTTTCAAAACATTCCCCTAACTGCCTCAGCCAATATTGAGATTCTTGGTGTCGACATATCGAGCGAGGTCCAGTTCCGTGGTCATTTAGAGAGTAAGGCTAAATAAGCATCTAAGAACCTTGGTGTGCTTAATAGATCGAGGCAGTATTTCACTCTAGCACATCGCCTGCAGCTTTATAAGGCGCAAGTTCGGCCCCATATGGTGTATTGTTCTCATCTTTGGGCAGGTGCACCCTTATACCAGCTTCTCTCTCTCGACCGCATTCAGCGGAGAGCAACTCGAATCGTCGATTGCCGGGAGATTTCAAGTCAGCTTGATCCACTGGCCCAACGTAGAGATGTTACTTCACTGTTCGTGAAGCAACGCTTGCGTTGTTTCGTCGTGTGAGTGAGGGTACCGAAGGCCCAGCCCCTCCCTATTGACTTCCCTCTACCCCTCAACCCTTCCCTCCAAGGCCGGCAGCGCGCTTGTAGCACCTCTGGTGTTGCAGGTGTCCATGGGCGACGATAATCACTTACCATCAGGTGATCCGTCTGCTCGTCTGCCCCCTATCCCATAAAAAAAAATCTATTACGGGGAATGCTCCGAGGAATTGTTCGGTCTCATACCTGTCGCTACCTTCCGCCATCGTTCCACGCGACAAGAAATCCACGCCCATCATTTGGATGGTTGGAAGTCCTCAATTGTGCGTTTTTCTAGAAGTTTCCTGCCTCGCACAGTCAAACTCTGGAACAGTTTGTAGCCAGCTTGTATTTCCGGACTGATACGACCTTCAAACTTTCAAGCAAAGAGCATATTCATTCCTCAAAGGCCGGCGGCACGCTTGTAGCCCCTCTGGTATACCATCAGGTGATCCGTCTGTTCGTCTGCCCCCTATCCAATAAAAAAAAGGTTATGGTTAAAGGTTAAAAGTCTATAATGGATAATAATAACGAATGCGCTAAAGAGATTTCAGTTCTAGTAGGCAAAATGTTGCGTAGTCTATTAATGGAATAGTACGTAGCAAATACCTTTTTTTAGCGCCCTCCACCTGAGGCCTCCAAGAAAAGTTTCGATCGAAGATGATTAAGGTTCCTTACAGTTCTTGAATGGGGAATTACAATGCCGTTGAATATTACTGAAGGAAGTAACTCAGAACTGACCCTAGAAATGTAATGAGAACCGCCAATTAGAATAACTTGAATGTAGAGTGGTTCACAGTGAGACCATATGATTCACTCTAATCACTAATGCGTCACAGGTCAGAGTTTATAACTGAAACCGCCTTTCATAAATACGAAAATGGCGCTTGAGTATAAATTTGAAGGTCATCGGCGTAGAGGTGATAGGAACAAGAAAGCATTTCAGTTATGGAATTTATAAATATAGAGAAGAAGAAGAAGACAAACGAACACCCCAGATAACATGCTAACTTGGGGCAAGTTTAATTTTTCTTTGATTCTAAATTGCTGCGTCAAATATACGAGGCAAGTTAGTGACCATGTCGCTGCAATATTATTATGTTAAATATGAAGTTTCATGTTTGCGACAATATTGTTATGACATAGGTGCCCGAATAGTTCTAAGTCTGCAGACTAGATGGCGCTGTTCATTTAATTCGTCGAGGTATCAGTTTATATTGTTAGATTGTATAAGTAATATACCGTTTAATGTGATATTAATATGGGATTCGAAACTAACCGTTCCAGTTAATTACTTTGGCTCTTAGGCTAGGCTCTGTGCTGTGGTCGGAGTTTAAAGTCGCAATCGCTTTAGGACCTAAAGTTTTGAATGATCAAAAGATTAATAAAAACTTAGTAAACTTAAAATAATATTTGCCTCGAAACTTGTATTTCAGGTACTCGAGTACCCGTGTACCTGCTAGGTATTGGAGTCAGTTCTACGGTAGTAGTAATAATAATTTTTCTAGTTACACTTGCACTACCTTTGATACGTCAAAGGTAGTGCAAGTTTGTCACACTGAAACTAGAAAGTTTGATTTAAACTTGCTGCAAGTTGCTGCAGTTGTTATGGCAAACCAGAAACAAGTCTTCATGTTTGATGTATCAAACTTGTTGCAAGTCAGAAACAAATTTAAATTGTTATCTGGGACAGGCTTTGATATTGTCAATCCTCTGCCGGCGTCTTACCATGTAAATCCGAAACCAGGCAATAGGGAATATGTATCTGAGTCATAAAAAGGGTTAAATATATTTTATTACAATCGTTATTGCTTTAGAATAAAGTCTATCTAAATATTTTTCAACATTAGTTTTCGTAACGTTTTCGTCTTAAAAATAATTATTAAAAAGTGCAAAATAAAAGCGGTAACTTCAAAATATTTAAACGCCATGCTACTTGTCAAAGCGGATGTGAATAAAATGTACTGGTATAGGGATGTCGTTGTTACAAAAAGTTAACATCGATGCAATAACATCAATGTATTATGTCGCAAAATAAACAACTGATTACAATTTAAATGATGTTTTAGGCTTTTATTTTTATTTCACCAATTTGGTAAATTATATGATTTATTAAAAAAAGTCTTTTATACTTTAAAAAATCGATTAGTTGTTAATCGATTTGGGTAATTGAATAATAATCAATCACTCAAAATCCATATTAATTTAAAATGTCATATCTTTAGTCGTGTACTTTGACGTCACGACGAGCGCGCCAAAAATTCCGGTGTTTAAATTTCTCGTAGCTATTACTTATTTTCATCAATGATTAATGTTACAATTTTTTACAGTTATATATCGATGTAAATTATCATATAAAACCATTTTCCAAAAATGTGCATATTCCCTATTGCAGCTGTAGATATATTGAGAGAAGCCATTACACCGAGAAGAATGTCAAAATCAACCGCTTTGAAGGCATTGCTTAAATAAAGCAATGTTAACAACGTAAGCAGATGATTTTCCATTCCTCGTCGAATGTCATCAGTAATCATTACCAATGCAGTAGTAGTGCTATGGTCCGTACGAAAACCGATGAAATGGATTAAGAAGGTAATCACCTTCCAATTTTAAACTTTTTCAAGGACTTTAGAGAGGAATGGATATGGGACGGTATTCGGAAAACTAGGATGGGTTTAACATTTTTGGTACGAGGGCGGGATGATAAATAACTAGCCTAGCATAGAAAAACTTGAATTAGTGTGTTAAAAGTATATTTATTTTTGACATAGTCTCCTTAAAGCGCTATGCACTTCATCCATCAATGCTCTAAAGCCTTGATGCGACCCCTGAAGTGGTTTTTCATCAAGCCCTTCAAAATAACTATCCACTGCAGACATCACCTCGCTATTATTTTCAAATCTTAGGGAATAGATGAAAGTCCGATGATGCCAGATCAGGAGAATAAGCTGGGTGTGGTAGCAAATAATAATTTAATTCTTTGAATTTCGCCATCGCAGTGATGCACGTGTGAACGCGCACATTATCCTGATGAACGATTATTCTTTTTTTAGCCAGTGTAACAGTTTACTTAATAAACTGTCCTTGTTTTGAATGTTTATCTGATGTCTTAATTTCCTGTTTAATACAAATAAATTTAAAGAAAAATATAATTAAAAATAATTGTAGGTACAATGTTAACAATTGTACTATGGAGGTAGGCAGACATAGGAGCGCAGCGCGGCTCATAGTGGTGCCATAGTATTTAAAATGACTTCTCGCGAAATGAATCCAATGGATTCATTGTGATTTGATTTTTCCAAATTGTGTATGAGTGTTAAATAACCCCGAAATCGGGGTTCTAGTCCTAGTTCTATTTCT